TTGCATTTATTTTGAATCGACATTAATTCACTATATCTGTTCTAAATATCAACGTATCCCTTCTCAAATCGAATGGGTTTGTTACTCCCGACGGAGCAAAGGCCGCCGACCAGTATAATTTTTCGTGGTTAGCGTGTCTTTAGAAAGTTCGTTTTCTACGGGATGTGTTCGCTAAACTTATGTCCAACCCTCTTCCTTTATCCGAGCTTGGGACCGACATTAGCCCGAAGAAAGGCTCCAGGCGTAGTTCCAACTCATTGATATACATTTTGTATTTTTAGGAAATTTATGAACACCATATATCATAAATGAAATAACATACAGTTGATTAGTTTGATAAGGTCAACCTATTCGTTATAGTTTACTGATTTCAAATGATTTGCCGGTTAAATACTCAAGAATTTTTTTTATCATAAACTATCCTTATTCTAAATACTGAAAATGTAGTTCTTTCTTATTCTTACTGAAAATGTTTAACCTCTCAAAGGATAAACACTGAAATCAACCCATCACCTTCATGTATATTGAGTGAATAACTCTATATATGTCCATTGTCCTTAATCAATGAATTACACAATGTCAGTTGAACTACTGATTGTTTATACATTTTAATAATGTCATCACAACTATTTGTAATGATGGTTAATAATGATAATGATTTAATGTTTAAACATGTAAATCATTGAAATGATGCATTTCAGGACAACGATCAATTAAACATCCTGAAAATTATGTAACTAAATTAAATTCTAGGAAAAAAGATCAATGATGATATATTAATGTTGAGAAAAGTTTGCCTCCCAACTGGTCTGGTATGACCGAGGGTGGGAAGAGTTCGCTCTCCTTCTTGAAATACTCTCACATGGCCACATGTATACAATCACTATCAGGGAAGTCCTACTCACTGCCTTCTCGAAGCGGGGATTTTATTTACGAAGTTCAAAGGACGAAGAGTTAATGTCAGGCCCTTTAACTGGATTGGTGGACGAGGAGGAATCACCCATCTAGGGGAGTTGGAAAATCCTGATTCCAAACTAATGGGACACATGGGCTCCAGTATTCCGGAATAACAAATGGTATATGAGCCAATCGTTGGTTAGCGGCTATTTTGGGACTGCATCTCCTTATGTTGTTCCACTGCCTTATGGATCAGACCTTTAGGTCGATGGCTATGGGTGCGGCCCACTGAGAAAATCACCTGCTTCGGTCTGAACAGCCGTGTAGTATCATAGGTCACACACAAATCAAGTAGCTTGTATGGTGCATATATATTTGTTGCCCCTTTGTACCAATATTTATGTGTTCATATAAATAAATAGTGATATTCATATTCAATTAAGAATAATATCATCCATGGAATAGCATTGCTACCGACAATGAAATTGTAACAGGAATTGAAGGGATTTATGAATCATGGTTCGAACCAGTGAGGTTCTACAGCTGGAACCAGGTGACAAAACTGCTAAGAATGTTATAAACTCATTTTAGTTAACGTTCTTACTTAACCGCTGTCAAATGAATGCATCTAGGTCAGTATATATTCAGGAATAATCGATTAAACTTAGTACTCCAACGGAAATATTGTACAAGCACAGTTCCACGATGATTGATAATCAAATAGCATTTAATGATTCACATGAATACAGTACAGAAAGTATGCTTAAAACTAATAAATTGTAATGACCTGATTTGTTTCACTTGGACGTTTCTAAGTGAATCACTGATTAGTAGTGTTCATAATTTTGAATTAGTAGTAGATCAGTACAAATTCTAATTACATAACATGAGTAGTTTGCAGTCCGACTATCAATAACATCACTTTAACTTAACATAAGCTGGGAAAAAAAGATGAATAGAGATTGACTTAATTCAGTCTATATCAGTCAATGATGAAACCAGACAATCGAGGATCAATATTATCTTCCAATTCACTAACTTAAGCATGTGAATGACATATCCCGTAAATTCATAACTTAACAGAAAACAAATTCAAACGTAGATAGGAAGCATAGACCACATACGCATGATTGTTCAACTAGGCAACTCATCAAGAATGTTAATAGTTTAATGCTAATAAAAACTTACGCCTCTTACCCCTCATCAAGGAGCATAGGCTAATCATCAACATTCTTCATCAACTTCTGTCCTAGACAATCATTTCCACTTGCTATTTATCATTTTCATGTTTGCTTCCAATTTCCGACGTAGTGTGTTCTTCAGCCTTCCTCTTCTCTGTTTCACTTCAGGATTCTAAGTAAGTGCTTGTCTCGTAATGCAGTTTGATGGTTTCCGTAATGTATGCCCTATGCACTTCCAACGTCTTTTCCTAATTTTCTCCTCAGCTGGAAGCTCGTCTGTTCTCTTCCATAGTGCCCTATAGCTGATGGTATCCAACCAACGGACATTTAGTTTTTTGAGTAGGCAGTTGTTTATAAATACTAGGACCTTTTTGATGATAGTTGTAGTAGTTCTCCAAGTCTGAGCTCCCCACAATATAACTAACTGTTTTGACGTCCGCACCGAAGATTATGACTTTATGTTGGCTGACAGTTGTTTTGAGTTATATATATGCTCTTGAATTGTAGAAATGCAGCCCTTACTTTGCCGATCCTTACCTTCAAAGTTGCATCAGATCCTCATTTTTCATCGATGATGCTACCCAGGTATGTGGAACTTCCCACTTTTTCCAGTGCTTCTTTATCAAATGTGATTGGTTTGGTGTTTTGTGTTGTATTACAAGATCTTGCTTTTCCGATTGTGAATGTTAAAGCCCATTGGCTACCTTCACCTGCATTTGTTGGTATGTGGGTTAGAAGGGCACAACTTTGCAGTGTATTCCGTCGTACGAATTCTAGATGCTGACGATTTTCTCAGATACTCCATAGTTTTGAAGGTTCTCCTACCTACGCGGTCAAACACTTTCTCATAGTAAAACAAGTTGATGTATAGTGACGAGTTCCGTTCAATTTATTGTTCAACGATCGTCCAGCTTTGCGATTCGGTCTGTGCACGACCGATCCTCACGGAATCAGGTCTGTTGGTCTCGGACTTGTGCGTTTGTTGATTATTTCATCCGATTCAACAACACTCTATTTAAATATTTTTCTGGTACCGATGGTAGTATGATGCCCATGTAGTCCTCACAATTGTTCAGATCTTTCTTTGGTATACTGATGAGTTAAACCACTTTTCAGTGTATTGGTATTTGTTCTTCCCCCCCCCAAATCTTCCCTAATAGAATATGTTTGTATTTACTTCTAACTTCGATGCTTCAGCTGATATGTTGTCAGGTTGTGCTGCTTCCCCATTCCTAATTTGTCTGACGGACATCCTGATATCGTCGATCGTTGGTGGAGTGTCATCTATAGGAACGTCTGTAGGTATTGCTTCAATGTCTAGTGGGTTGGTCTATTCAACAGTCATTCAAAGTGTTCTACCTATCTGTTCTTTAATCCCAGTGATTGGAAATCTGGGATCATTTGATTCCTCAGCAGTGTGCATTCACGGGGTCCAAACTCAGGACCATCGGTCTCGCGCGCGAACGCTTAACCTCTAGACCACTGAGCTAGCCAGCATCCAACAGTGTTAATCTCTAACCTCAATCACAGCTGAGGAGACCTACAATAAGACGAAACGGCCGTCCAGTGCTTGTAGGTTTTTGATGGTGGTCTAACATCAATGAATTCATGATCTCAATCAAAAACATATTGATAATCTCCACAATCCGATACCGATAATTACCATGCGCTCACTAGTGACTAGCTTCGTGAGTCAACTCTCGAAGCTTTAGTGAGAAGCCTTGATCGGTGGAGTTAATCCATGTCAGGTAGAGACAGATATCTACCTCAGTACAATGGAAGATGATCGCATAATTTCATAGATTGGTTGAAGTTAGACATTAGCACCGATGGGTGTCAGCTGGCTCAGTGATGGTTTAGAATTCAAGCGTTTGCACACGAGACCAAAAACCATGGGTTCGAATACCGAGAGCGGGATCATAAACGCATACTATTGAGGAGTCCCATAATAAAACGAAATAACTATCCAATACTTCCAGGTTTTCAAAGGCAATCTCTATAACTATATACTGACACAATCATCACGTCATACATAAATATCTCTATGAATAAACCTATGAGAAATGCTGAAGAGTCCCAACACTCGAATGTAACGACCATCCAGTACTTCCATGGTGATCTAGCTAGAATCAATTCATGAATTCGATTATTGAAATGATTATAAACTCATCATAAAACCGTCCTTTCTGATAGAAATGATTAGTGTTAAATATATTTCATTATTATTCACAAACAAACAAAATGAATTTCATGCATAATTAGGTAGTAATAAGAAGAAGACCACAGAAAATAAGCGAAATAAAAAAAGAAAGAGAGAGAGGAAGATTAATTAAGTAATAGAATATAAATTGTACATACATAATTATGTGAAATAAACGCTGCTTACATTTGATTACGATCATTATTATTATTATTATTATTATTAGTTATGTAATGAATAAGTGAAAATAATTAAACTTCTCTATTACAGTAACAATTGCATACAGAAAAACAAAAATAAAATAAATTACATATTAACGAGAAGTTATTTGATCATATTTCTATGCAGGGAGATAAGGGGAAAAACGAGAAAGAGAGAGAGGGGGGGGTGGTGGGTTGGAGGCGGAGGATAGAAGGTGGTATTATTAACTAAGAGAAAAACACTTAACTACTAATATTCTGACATGATTTAACACCAGGGATGTATACAATTGTTTAAATCATCATCATCATCATGATAAAACTGAAAGAGAGAATGTTTCAAAGCTCAAGTTGACAAAAAAAATACTCATTAGTGTACTTGTTTATACATGAATTGCATGCAGAATACACAATAAGATTTTTTTTTAAAAAGTTGTTAAGAGAAATGAATCAGGATGTGTCTACATACCACAAATAGCAAGAGTGAAGGCGAACAACAACGATAACGACGATGATGATGACGACGACGACAACAACAACAACAAGGAAGAGAATAGAGAATGTAAACTGATGGTTAATATTTACAAAAAAATGGTTAAAATAAATAATTATAAAAACAAAATTACATAAATAAATAAATAAATAAATAATAAAATACCTATAAGATTAATAAACAGTAATTGCCGATCAAATGATATTGAATACTTGAACAGAAGTTTCATTTTGATGGATCAGCAACCACAACAACACCAAACAAACGGTTACATAATGATGCAAAACAATGAAGAAGATTTATATAAATATACAACAGAATAAAAACAAGAGTTAATTTAAAGAGAAAAAAGAGAAGAAAACTGATGGTGATGGTGATGATGATTAGGCGCTTTAGAAACAAAACAAAAAAAAGTGATTATGTAATAGTAGAGAAATAAAAATAAATCAATAAATAATGTACCTAGAAGATAATCACATCACAGGAGAATAAGACTAATATCATTCATTGTTGGAATATGTCGGCGCTGAACAACAAACAAACAAACAAACTTGTGGTGATGATCAGGATCCACACACACACGTAAATCTAGAAAATGTATTCATCAAGACATTGTTGTCAAGAATAGAGAAAAGTGAGAAGAAGAGGAACAAGATAGCCTTACTCTTAATGATGACGTAATATGATTCTTTCAATAACAACAACAACAAAAAAAAACAAAGAAAGAAATGATATTTATAACATAAAATAAAAATAGAATAAAAACCTAGAAAAATGGATGAAAGAGAAATATATTCAATAAGAGATAAGTGAATATCCCTTATTGCATTTAAATAAATAAAAGTATTTTTATGAATGTCACTGGGATTTATAAATATTAACATTATGACTAATACTACTACCACTACTACTCATTATTGGTATATTAGTAGTAGTAGTAGTATTAGTTGTACAACAAACTGATGTATTTATATGATGATTATAATGATGAATAGGCATAAATCGTTTAATATGATGATTATGATTTCTCCTAATATTAGTAGTATTAGTAGTAGTATTGTTGATTATCTTATCACAATTATTATGTGATAAATCTGATAATGATGATGATGATGATAATAATAATGGAGATGATATACAACAATTCATATTGAAATTCTCTTCTTGAGATGATAATGATAATGATGGTAACTGTGATATAAATTGTGTTGAATATAATGGAATAGGAGAAGAAGGACTGGAAGCTATTTTACTATCATTTAAATATAAATTAGATTTACCTGAAGAAATATTTTGTAATGTAGCAAGATTGAATAAATGTTTTTGAGACCATTTCGATAATGAAATCGACGAAGAAGAAGAAGATGATGATGTTGATGATGGTGGGGGTGGAGGTGGTGGTGGTGGTGATATAGTTGTACAATGTGTTGAAATTAAAGAATTTGAAGATTTTTCAATTTGATTATTGGATAAAACATTTGCATGAATGATATCAGAGATAACCGTTGAAGTAAATGGTGATATTATGGAATTACTATGATCGGATAAATAATGTGAACCTCTTGACATATAGGTTAATAAAGATTCATCAATGAAATTTTGATCATTCATTTTAGGATGATTATTCTGTGATAATGAATGATCAACTGATCGTCGTTCACTCATCGATGATATAACACGATGAAAATTTGGTGTATAATTTGACCAGAGACTATTATTATTATCACTATTACTATTAGTAGTAGTAGTAGTACTGTTACTAGGATACAATCCACTAATTAGATCAGTTGATGATGTATAAAAATGTTTTGATTGACAATAGTTAGGAAGATTTGATTGTTGAGATGATGCTATCGTTACTGGTGATGATGATGATGATGATGGTGTAGTTGTTGTCGTTGTTAATGATCTAGATGGTTTTTCTGAATTATTCAATGTTGTAGATGGTGATATAGGAGATACTGGAAAATTATTCTCATCTTCAAATTCAGTATCTGTTAAGAAACGAATACATTTTTTCTTTCGTCTAGAAAGTTTAAACACACACACACACACAAACATGAATATGTATCATTAAGTTTATATAAAATAGGGGAAACATGTATCACAAACACAATTCTATAACAACACAAGTAATGAATAACTTTTTAAAACAAATATCTAAATCATTCATTATACCACACACAATGTTAAACCTTAAATGAAATATAAGACTTAAACAGATTAAACCTTATGTACTGTTTATTTCCTCAGGAACTGGGATGAAAACAAAAAGTTCAGAAGTTTATACAACTTATTACTTGAATTCTTTCTTACTTTTACTTGCTTACGTCTGTTACTCCCAATGGAGAATAGGTCGCCAATCAACATTCTACAACCCACTCACTCTGTCCTGCGCCTTCCTTTATAGTTCTTCTCATATCTGTCTCCATTTCTCGGTGTAATCTGTTCTTCGGTCGTCCTGTTCTCCTTTGGCCTTGAGCATTCCAAGTGAGCACTTGACTTGTGATGCAGATGGGTGCTTTCTTCAACGTGCGTCCTATCCACTTACAGCATATCTTCCTGATTTTTTCCTCCACTGTTATATGGTTTATTCTCTCCCACAATAGGTTGTTGCTAATAGTGTCTGTCCAACGGATCTGAAGTATTTTGCGTAGACAACTGTTAATAAACACCTGTATCTTATGGATGATGGCTTTCGTAGTTCTCCAGGTTTCCGCTCCATACAGTAGTACTGTCATGACATCTGTATTGAAAATTCTGACTTTAGTGTTGGTTGCCAAATGTTTTGAGTTCCAGATGTTCTTCAGTTGTAAATATGCTGATCTTGTTTTTCCGATCGGCGCCTTCACATCTGCATCAGATCCACCTTGTTCATTAATGATGCTGCCCAGATATGTAAACGTTTTTATATCTACCAAATCTTACACTTAATTCTTTCTAGTGTAGTGTATAATTGACATTCATATTAACTTGACAGTATCATTTTTGGTTAATAGTTTGTTTTCTTTCACAGAAAAATAATCAATAAACTCAGTGGTAACTGAATGTTATCATCATTAAATCAATTTGATGATACCATATATAGACGACAAAAAATCGATGATGACAAACTACCGACTACAACAAATAAAAACCAGAGTTACTATTAAATATAATAACTCTCAACTACTACTAAGGGTATATAAATACCTTCGCAGACTACTTTACATGTTGTGAATTGTTTTAAAATTTACTGTAGAAAAGTATATAGGTAAATTTGGCGAGGTCGTGGATGCGCACTGCTGAGTCCTACAATAGGACGAAACGGCCGTTCAGTGCTTCCAGGTTCTCCATGGTGGTCTAGCTTCAACTGACTCATGATCTTAACCATTGAAATTACTACAATCTCCACAAAAAACCCATCTGATGTGAAATTTGGTAAACCTTATGGATCGTAAATTTATGTCAGCCAGCCATACTACTTATAAATTTTTAAAGTAACAACAGAAGACGTTGATGGTCCAAAAAAGGTATTTGTAATATTACACAACCGAAAGACAGATAAAAATGATCAACACAAAAACATTAATAATATGATCATTTTGAGGATGTGAGATTGTCAGGTGAGAATATGCTTTACTTGCTAGTGTATCATGGAGTTTGAAACTTTATATTCAAGCAAAACCTTGTGTTATTGTAGCGGGGACCGAAAAAAAAACACATTTATATTGGCGATGCAGTGAACGAGAACACAAATGACGACGGTCGAATGTATTTAAATACTCAATTACAGAATATCTTAGCAAAATCTGAGAACCATAAAATAAATACTAAAATGTCAATCAATCGTCTCGGACTTCATTGTTCCGTCATTTCCACACCAACCATTATTTGTTCTCGTTCACATTCCTTCGATCTTCTTAACATGCTGTCGCTAGTCATTTCTCTTTTGATTGATGATACATACTACTTATATCTATCGATATCAGTAGCACACACCACAGTGATATCAACAAACATACAAATGGATGGATTCGACCCGATGACGATCGATTAACCGAAACAACAAGAGAAAAGTAATGTGTAGAAATATTTTAAATTAGTGGAGGGTGAGAAATTGAACGAAGATACAGGCGGAGTGTCTCAAGTTCTGAAGATCTCAGTAAATCAAGTAGAGACTGTGATCAATATAAAGCATACGAGAGAGTAACTCAAGTTATTTAGTGGTATGAAATGTTAACTATGCAACTTATCTCACTGTATTTACATATATTAGCCTATTTAAAGGGTTAATTGGGAAGAGAACAAAATCTATAATCTAAATATGGATAAGGAAATTTAAGACAGTTTCGTTGAGTGTATAAGAAAGAATTAACCACCAGTTGAAATTTCTATACTTTATCATAGTTTAATGAAAAATCCATTGTCTGATAAGTTTTAACAGGTTAGATAGAAGAAACTCTTACAATAGATGATAAGATTGACTACATATGACTGAAGTAATCAGCAGATTGATGCAATCACTTTGATCTAGCGATTTACAGTAGAAGAAGGACAACTACTGTAATTTAACAGCCGAATTGAGTTCTCAACAATATACCATATGTTGGAGATTTGGATACTAATACTGTAGTAGGGACACTCGAATGCATTTGTCACGAAATTACAGGGTATCTCACTAAAATCTGAGAACCATAATCTGTAAAATATAAATCAATCGTCTCAAACTCAACTGTTCCTTTTGCAAAAATCAGTCTGTTGTCTCGCATTTCATTGTTTATGCATTTTCACACCGATTGCGTCCTGTTCCCGTTCTTTCCTTATCGATCTTCCACTGAAATACATTCTATGCTTGACCACAGTTATATACTACTTATGTAGATAAAAGTAACCCACATCACACTACTGTTTTAACTCAATGATTGATTATAGTAGTATCTTAGCTATCGCTATTTTGCTCCCTAACAGAAAAAATCACATTTGTCTACCTGGTATTGTTGTCAATAAAGAGTAAAGAATTTGAGTTACTTATTCAAGTTGTGAAAATCTATTGATTCAGCTATCTAACTGAAAGATAGATCGCCTTGAAATCAGTAGTATATAAACTACTCTGACTAATCATATAAGAGGAGATGAAAGATTATGTCTTAAATTTCAACAAATGATCCTATAGAATATAAAATTTCGTATTACCAGACAAAAATCACTGAGTATTTCGTTAAACGGTATATTGTTTCACGTTACCTCACACAAACACATGCTTCATAGGATAATAGCTGGAAGAGGATAATAGAGTCAAACAAAAATGTAGTGAAAATAACAATACTAGTTAACAAAATAAAAGATGGAAAAAAAACTATTAGAAACGCGTCCAAGTGAAGTTTAGAACAAGCAAAGAATTTGCTAGGGTTGAAGCTATCACGAGTTCACTCAATCTGCGAACAAGAAAAAAGACTCCGTGATCAAACACCACTAAGCTAGCTACTTGACGCGTCCAAGCCCCGATAACTAGACGAAGAAGTCCAAGATTGGAATGGGGTAGTATATTCTGCAAACAGCCACAAACCAGCGATAACAACAAATACAATTCAAAACGTATATATATACAGTACAAAACTGTCCTTGGGGAGAGTTACCAAATAGCATACTAAAAGACGCAACGGACCAATATCATTTAAGATATTTCCCAGGGGGAAATACGACATGAATAATTGCAAAATTAGGTTGCTTAAATGATGCATATCAAGTAAAGATTCTGAGGAAGTGCATAAAGTATGAACCTATTGTTGATTACCGGCTATCATGGGACAGCATCTACTTTTGTGGATTAGACCTTTAAGTCAAAGTTTTGCAAAATGACTCCTTAAGAAAAGCACTTGCTTCGATTCGGGAGCTCCGACCGTATTCCAGCTCTCATACAAAAACGAATGACGAAGTGTGACGCATATATATAGGGTTTCTCCTTGTACAAATATGCTTCAATAAATAAATCGACAATAAAATGATCTCAATTATTTGTGATTTGATTCCGATGAAACTCCTTCCATTCTTATTACTGACTAACTAAGTTGAAGTTTAGGAGGTAGTTCTGTTGGGATATTCAGGAAAATATCCCAAAAATTATTCTATTAAGTCTTGGACTTGGAGATGGTATTATTTTCTTATTGGTCAGTGCTTATTTCACGTGTCGTTTTCCTGCTGATCAATATTGTACAAATGTTGTTTTCTATTTTATGGTACGATGTGGTCTGCTTGATTAGTATATAAACAGAGTATGTTTGAAATAGAATGATTCATATATCCGAGGCTGAGACTTGTGTTCTGGACTCAACTGGCTGTGCTAGACAGGGAAGCGGGACCAATCAGAACCCTAAGCCGTTCTTTCGTGTTTGCGCGTCTTTGGTCCGATCAATAATTCGCTGTCCTCTAATAAGCAGTATTTTCACAGTATAGGAAGTTCAAAGTTGGTTTTTTTTTCCAGTTTGTACTGATTTATGACCTTATTATCAATTGATACAATTTAAAAGAGTTTCCACATAGTAACAACAATAAATAAGAGATACTATTATATATTACCATACACTACAATGTACTTTATTTAGATCTAGAATAAGTGAGAACTATTTTCCATGAATCTACATTTCAATATTTTAAATTTTGCGCAATTTTTTTCTTCTCTTTTCTTTTTTTTAGAAAAAAAAACATTTTCGGGAAGAAGAAGCAGAAGAAAGAAAGAAAGAAAGAAAAAAAGAAAGAAATTTCAATGGATTATTAAAACACATTTGGATTTAATTAATTCTAATTCATCATTAGTTGTTTCATTATCAAAAAAAGAACTTTAAGAATATCAATGTGTTGTCTGATTTATGATGAAAATGTGTACAGTAATACAAACCATAGGAAACTTTCAATAATATTTTATTTATTTATTTATTTGAACATATAAATATTGAGACAAAAAAAAAGGGTACCGAATATATACGAGCTATACAAGTTAATTGATTTGTGTGTAAGCTGTGATACTGCTGCCCGGTTTTACAGATC